ATGAATCGTTAAACAACTGAAAGAAAATTGGCTTTTGTTTGTTTAAAACATGGGATTTGATACAACAACATCGGGTGCAGTGTGAGAAATTTGAATATTTCCGCGGAAACCATGTATTCTTGTTTGCAGTTAGCATTGTTAATCTTCGATGGTTGACTTGAAGAGCAAACTTGTGGTTAAAATCGACGCAACAAAACGAAAGGATCTGTGTTGTTTTAGGGTATGATGTGATGAAATAAGATACTTACGAAATATTTCTGTATAAAATGAAAAAGCCCTCTGCCAATTAACTCGTAACTAATGGATTAAGAAGGTCGTTAAATAGGTCTTCAGGTCGGAAAAATAAAATACGGAGCTTTTAAAAATATGGCAAAGTTTTAAATAAGCTTAAGACTAGAAATGAGATCGGAAATCAAAAAAGAAAATGTGCATGAAAATTGTCAATGGCATAATAGTCCTTCGTGGCCATATGAGTTTTCGCCAACTCTTTTCATTAACAATACTGCCTTAACTCTCGTAAGAGAGAACTATTTGACCATATATCATTTTCACCTTCCTGTGATTACCATAACATCCGACATAGCTATAACCAATAAATACTCAGAGATCGTCTGGATATTTTGACTGACAGACAATATTCTTTGCACTCTTATAAACTCTTATTTTACTGCTACAGCCGCCACTTAAGCGGCAGTTTTGATGCAAATTAAGAGAGCATTTCTCCTGATGATTTCTTGCGTTTTCTTTGGGTGCCTACATTGCGATTAATTTTGAAGAGAAATTTAACAAGCGCCGGGTTTTGTTTGAAGTTTAATCACCAATGCAGCGATTAAAACATCTAAAAAGGAACTGCTTTAAATTAGAGCTTAATTAAGCACTACTGTTGATTTTAGTTTCTCCGTTTATTGCTAAAAAGAGTTAAGCAACTATCGGTTCACAACGTCACGGAAACTGTTACATCGAGAGCTTTGACATTACAAGTAAAGAGTTTCCTATCCAAAACACCCTTTATATGGCAAATTCTAAAAATTTATGCTGTAAGCCGGGGGCTTTCGAGTCGTACTCGTAAAATGAAAAAAAAGTTCTGGTGTCCTAATCTATCGCAACTAATAATGATTAAGCAACGTAAGGCTTGATTGAATATTCATAAACTGGAGAATTGTTACTGACTTTTTGGTAAGCGACTGTAAAGCAGTAAGTAATCATCATTTCTGATAGACATTTTAAATTCTGCAAGCAGAATACTGCAATGTTTATCGTACGACGTGAAAATTATAATGCAAGACATCAACACGACACCGAAAGAACTCAAAACAGAGCGGGATTGTAGCCATAGACAGCTGTTTCAGCGCTATTATTGTGGCTGACTACAGTTGACATATGAATAGGTTATCATAGGCGGCATTAATTAAAAGAGACATATAATAAAACTACGCATGCAAAGAGCTGAAAATAAAGTTGTTTCTGATAACTGTCATCAGCAAGGTATCAAAAACTGATTGGCTACCGAGCGGTCAGGATTGCTCTCTCTTGTCCGCTCGGGATTTCTCAGTTTGTTTCCACAAGTGGATCGGCAATGTTATTTCATCGCTAATATGAATCATAAGAATTTATTTTCGGAGGAAAACACACAATCCATAGACTGCGAGCAGTCTCTCTTTTTCTTGAGTTTTAGTAAGGAGCGAGCACTCGCGCCCGAGCGTCGAGCGGCGAACGCGCTCTGTGGTCACTTTCGTGTCTCGCGCGTTTCGCTAGACGGCGGGACTGAGAAGAAGGAGAGACTGCTCGTAGTCTACACAGGTGGAAACACGTGATGGAAGCACGGGTGAAACAACATCCTACAGTCCCTCAGTATTACGTAATTACGTCTTGCGTGATGGCATTTCCATTGCAAGACTCGTGTCTTTTGGATAAAGGTCTGAAGGTTGAACTAAAGTAGCGTTCACACGGCACTAGACGAATTGTCGACTAGTTGAAAATTTAGGTGTTTTGTCCACACGGAACCACCTTAAACGAACGAAAATTTAGACGCCTCAGCCGTTCAAAAGAATATGAACGCCAAAATAGGGGTCAAACTTTTAGTTTTTGAGTTATTTAAATTCAATTCAATTCAATTGTTTAATACGGTCAACAATTTGACCGGCGCGGTGTGAACACCATAACAGTCTAAACTATTGTACAGCAAAGGCGTGGTCAAGGATTTGCTTCATGAGCGCTTTGCGCAGGGACAGATATTAAAACCACTGACAAAAGATAATATTTATTTGGTTTCTCAGTTCCTTGTGAACAGAGCGCAAATATTGAACGACTCCTTGTGAACGGAGTAATCGGCAGCCAGGGACTAAATAGAGAAGATATGGTGCTTAATAAAATATGTCAGTTGTTCTTGACTGAAGAGGTGTTCGCCAAAATGTGTTACGAAATAGCCCACGTTCGGTATATCAAAATTCTAGCATGTCTCCAAGGCTCTCTGGTCATATTTCTATATTAGGTTTGGTTTTCGTTGTGCTCAAGTCTCTTCAGGTAATTTAAAGACAATGCCGCCGCAAAAAATTTGCAATTTTGTCCCTTAAGCCTTAGCCCCCCTCGCAGGCGTTCTTAGGGGAGCTCGTGGGAGGCTACTAAAGCCTCAGAGTCATGTTATAATTTTAGTCTAACAGATCAAAGTTTGGCTATTGTTGAGAACCATTCATTTCCGATAACAAATATGGCCGTATCCGAACCGTGACAAAGGGGAAAGTGACTAGTGCATACGATTTTTACACTGTTTTCTATTCCAGAATTTTGTCAAGTTTGTGTATACTCTCGACGGTGTATAAAGGCTTTGGTTATGAAGTTGTTTGCACAATTCACAAGCACGCCGGGTTCGAATGCGTTGATACTGTTTCTTCCAACAAAAATATTCTTCGTATGCGGTGTCGTTGCCCGCAAGATACTGCAGATACTCTGCAAGTTTCTTTGGAGAGGCAAAATCTTGCACATCGATGTACGAATTTGGAATTGCAAGAGTCTGGTAATCAGCGCCGCCCATTACTACAGGGACAATGCTGTTACCTATCGCGTTATCCCAATATTTTTCAGTAATGTAATCAGGACAGTTTCCATTCTCGAAAGCTAAATAAAACTTATGTCTGCTTAATAACGCGTTACAGATCAGCGAATGACGTTCCTTTGGGCAGGTTTGAGTGCCGCATTTTCCATAGATGGAAACGTTGATATATTTCTGTAATTCCTCCACGTACTCTCTTCGTTCTTTTGCGTTGCAGTTGCTGACCAACCAAGCGACTTCTGTGTCCTTTTCATCTGGTGCATGAATTTGTCTGAAGTCTCTTGCTTCCTTTTTTATTGATTTGTACATCCCGTACGGTATGTAAACCTCGGATTCTCGTCTATACGACATTGTCCAGTTAAATACGCCGGCGTAGCCATCAGGTTTCACAAACACATTTAAAGGGTTTTCCAAGACAAAGTAAAACCAGATTTGTTGCGTATTTAAACGTGTTGGAAGAATATCTGGCATGTCTCTTGCATGAAACCCTACAGCATCGGCTTCTAAAAGTTTACTCTGGTCATATGTTAGCACACACGAGGACACTTCGCAGTCGTGAAAAGTTTTTTCTCCTTCAACAAATTCAACCTTGTCTCCCTCTAGAGTCACATAGTCGGTCCATCTATTGCCAAAAAACGGCGTGTACAATAAAACCACCTTATTTCTTGCTTGGTTTCTCGCAGGACGGATTCCCATGGATATGTTTACAAAATACGTCGCCGTAGAGAGAAATAAGTCTTTGTAGAAAATACTGTAGAAGACAAAGCTGATGACTGCGCAGAGGAAAACAATGTGAACGTTGGGGTAAAATCGACACAAAAAGGTTCTCACAAATTTTAGCCTCGAGAGGTTCATTTAGAATCAGTTCAAATCAAAACTTTTAGCAGTGAGGAAATGAAGAGAAATATTGTGGTAGATACATGAGGCTAATCATGAACGGTGCACCGGCTGAACAAAGCACAAAGCAGGTATATAAGCTTTAACAATACCCGCAACAGGTGTTACTGAAATACCACCTAGCTGTAATCAAAGAAACTGATATAGTTTAGGCTATAATCGTGGTGACTGGAAAGTTGATCCGTGTAAAACAAAAGTGAATAGGGGAATTGCCTACCTGTAAACAAAAAAATACATCCGATTACAAGCCCCCCGGATATAAGAACCCCCCCCCCAAATGTCTTGAAAAGAATTCGAATTATCATGACGTTCTAACCCTTGATAAAAACCTGTTAATACAAAGGTATTTTGATCGGCACTTCTAAAGCTTATTTCGAAGCGCTTTTTATGTTCTGGTTATAACCTCCCTCGGATATAGGCCACTCCGTCCAAAAGCCCTTCTAAAACCCAGAAACCTCGGCAGGTTACGGTATTCTGATAGTTGTATCTGATATCTGATAACCGTTGGACCACCAGAACAACAGAGTGGACCCCAAGAGACTGGACCAGAAAACAGTCGTTCAGATAGTTTGGACCCTTATGGTCAGGATTAGCCAAGCACAGACACCTTCGGGATCGATCCAGGGAGGGGTTCCTCTGTCAAGAGTGAATGCAAACCCTGATGATTTTGATGATGATGATGATGATGATGATGATGATGATGATGATGATGATGATGATGATGATGATGATGATGATGATGATGATGATGATGATGATGATACCGAACTCATGAGAAACAGCGCTGGTAATATTTCACGTGAACAAACTCTTGTAGCTGTCATGAAAACAGAGAGCATTCGCTGTCAGTCACTTTTTTAGACAGAAATAAACGACAGAAATACCGGTATCGAAAATAACCGATAGAATATTCCAAGAAAAGAAACGGGCATCAAATACCTTTTGTGTTTAATTTCTATCTGAGTTTATTGAGAACAAAATAACTTATAAATAGAACATGGGTATTAACTGCGTTTTTAAATAGTTCTCTCAATATTTATACCAAATTTATTCTTTATCCGTAATCTGACTTTATCCAAAGAACTCGTGCAAATTCTTTGTTCTCTTCTTGTAAAGCCTAAACAAAAACGATAGAGACAACAATATTTTAAAATTGCTAGTTTTAATCGACCCTAACTGAATAATAATGAAGCAAAAAAGAGAAATGACATCTCAATTTAGGGACGTTTTACCACGACGGCGGCGGCCACGAGTACGTTGCTTAAAAAGTGACTTTGCGTTGTTTCAATCTACAACTCATTTACTTTGTCAAATGTAAGCCAGCGAACTCTCTTTGCTGCACTTGCAAAGTTGTTGTTTTGCCTATTTAAACTATTGCTTTTTTGACGTTCTTTCTTTCTCGTTTCTACAACTTAGTACATTTATAGCCCTTGAAAAGTGTGAAAAAGAATGCAATATGCTTGAAATTATTCTGGTACAAGGTTTTCGTCCACTGAATATTAAAATTACCCAATTTCCTAACGGATTTCAACTTAACAAATAGCTCCTAACAAGAAACTGCGTGGCCTTCTTTAGAGGACTACCCCCACCCCTGACAGTCCACAAAACGTTTTGTAGTTGAATATTACAAAAGCAAATCATGTCCTTACTGTAAGTTTCTTGACAATGCGCCTGTATTTTCTCTGGCTGACTTCACCTTCAACATCTGTGAAGTAATCTGATATCCCAATGTGCACTTCGATACGCTCTAATCGCGGACAAGCCCCTAAAAGCCAGTAAAGGAAAAGTTAGCGAACGTCATCCAGTCTGGCCGGAGACCATAAGTACTCGCCTAATCTAGGGTGGTGCTTGTTACAACTTATCAGAGCAAGAAAATAACTATTATTCTACTCAAAGAAAGAACTTAAAGTTTTAGTAAATCGAGTAAAACTGTCACAGCTGTTAGTTTGTTCTGGAACAAGCTAGCAGCGCTATCATTAAACGCCGCATTCTTCAGTGTTGAAAACTGCGAACCATACTTGTAATTGTGAAAAATTTGAACAGCTAGAAAAAATTCTGAAAAAATCTACTTTAGGCTCCGTTTATATGAAAAAAAATTTTTCCGGGTAGAAGGGTCATCCCCCTACCTGAGTTACCCTGGGAGACTGAGCCAACTTAAACTGCTTGCAGTCCGCCTTTTCTCTTAATATCAGTCTAGTTCTTATCTCAGCCAGTCCGACTGCAAACCATGACATTACAATAACCGATTACGCCCTCATTTATCGTGGCTCGCGGCTTTGTTGCTCGCGTGCTTGGGTTTTGCGTCAGTAACTTGGCCAAGGAAAATAAGAGACTGCTCGCAGTCCAGAGCCAACTTCTTATACATTTCCTTAAAAAACGTGACGAACGGTTTACATAAGATATAAAATGTTAGCTAGGCTAGAAATCAAAATAACGTGGCTTTACACTACCTAGCAGCTCCTTAATTGCGCCGGGAGAGACTGGGGTGAAGGTGAAGGAAATCGTTTCCAGTCCTCTCAGTCCACACAAGCACATGGCGTGGGCGATTTCTTCATTTATTAATATTGAACGATCCAGCTCTAGTTCTTGAAGTCTCAAACAACCTTTGGCTTAATGATGTGATTTAAAACAAGAAAAGGCAAGAAAACAGTGTTAAAATCTCTTATAAATAGTTATATCACAGTAAAAAATCTCATATAAACAGAAAAGAACAGTTGACGGTTGAAGAAAATGAAGTACTTTCTGTTCATAACCGATTCTTTGAAAGAGCGAGTTATTACATTTTCCTTGAAGTATTCCTGACATCTAGAGTTTGAAATCTCAACCTATGGCCTATCTTTAGTTCACAGGAATGATTCTTGATCGTCCTCCTAGACATACATTCTGAATCTACGTCTGAAGGTTTTTACAGCGCTGTTAATATTGCTTGTCAAATTTTGCTCGTTCTACTTTTTCCTGTCTTCTACGCGAATCGCCAGCGAATGGTTTTCATCCCCATCTATTGGAAAAGTTTTATCATATTGGAGGTTTGCTGAAATGTTTGCTTACTCGGGGTGGAATAATAGCAGCTACTGTTGTCTCTGGTTAAAAATAATTAGAAGATGCCAGTTGTAAAACCTATTAGTGGCACAAGGAAATAAATCTGATTTAATTCGATTTGATTTTGCGAACACGCGTCCTGCAGAGTGAAGGATGGGAGTTGTGATAAGATAAAATAGTTTAGTGCAGTTTACCAATGTGAATTAGTCCTGCAGAGGTGATGCTGGGGCCGCCGACTGTCAGCTGACGCAAGTTTGGCCAGCAGTTGGATATCATTTCCAAGCTCTTGTCGTTAAAACGTCCTGGATGATAACTTGTACGAAAGAAAATGAAATGAATTCAGTATTAAGGGAAAAACAAGCACATTAATTACCGCCTTCAGTCCTTTTCGGTTACTCTGTTTGTGGGAAATCGAAGCTGCGTATTTCAGAAAAAGCCAACGTCCAAAAAGAGATTTGTCGATTGGCTTCTACATGGCAGCAAAACGCCAGATAATTCGGAGCCATTGGAATATAAAAAGGAATCGAGGATCGTGGGAAAGACACATTGGTCTTGACTCTGACTGGTTGGGAAAATGGCAGGGTAAATCAAGTTTCAACTAGTCAACCCAGAGCAGGGCTGTAGCCGTAGACAGCTGTTTTGCCGTTAGGGAGTTTACGCAACGACGGCGGCGACGGCTACGAAAACATCACTTAAAAAGTGAATTTGCGCTGCCTCAAACTTTATCGCGCTTATCCCATCTCGTTTAATTTGTCAAATGTTGGCAAATTTTTTTGGAATTGAATTCTAAAGGACTGCATCAAAGTTCAGGAAAACAAAAAAGAAAGTTATTGTCTTTTGTTCCCGTCCTCGACAAAACGTGAAATTGGGCAGTTTCACGTTGTAGTCGAGCAACGACGGCAGATAAATCTACAAAAAAGAGTGATGCACGTGCAAAGTTGTTATTTTGCTTGTCTAAATTAAACCTATTGCTTTTTTTGCCATTCTCGTTGCCGTCGTCGTCGTCGTCGTCGTTGCGTAAACTCCCTATAATTGTGGCTCAGTAGAACGGCGCAACTAAACAGAAAGACTCTGCTGAAAAGTATACCCCCAAGCGTTGTTAAAAGCCCTAACATTGGGCTGCCACACCCACCGAATTGGCCTCATTTTGGTAGTAAGAGGTTAGGGGTTTTTTACGTCATATATGGTCTGGGAAAACATCAAGAAAATTTTAGCGCCCGTAATTGGGTATGAATAACCGGTGTTTGAAGGTTTGAAAGTCATTGACAACAATAAAGAGTCAAGTCTCACCTCGGGAACATTGGCGGTACGCGAAGGGTGTGAAGCTGTCGACACGCCCACAAGGCCCATAATGCCTCGGGGCATACGGGAAATGTATCACTGACGTAAACCATTTCTTTCAATTCTCGGCAGTAACACCCGACCAGGGATAAACATCTGCGAGAGAAAAGTACAGTGACGGCTGAGAACGAATAATACAGTTTAACTGGCTATGATTGTTAGTGCTAAGATTCCTTCCGTTAAACAAAGTCACTGTACCTATCTGTTAAAAAGATACCACAGTCTTCAATATGAAGGCTCTGCATACTGGATCCGGCTGCCTTTAAAAGAAACTCCAGGCCTCTTTCTAAATAGCAACTTAAGAGAAAAAAAAACAAGAACCCAAATAAAAGATAAAATGAGTCAGTCAGTAAATCCCAGACTGATCTGCTTCTAAAGTAAACTGAGAAACTTCAGTTACTACAGAGTCTCACTTGCAAAATTGTTGCGCCATCTAGGAAGTACGATCTTGTCACTCCTATTTGCGCAAGCTCAACTGGCTGCCTGTCAAACAGCTTTTATATCTGAGACTTGGTTATTGCACGAACGTGTTAAAACAACCTTGCCTCTACTTATTTCTGTGAAAAATTTCGCAAGCGATCCACCATCTATAGCCTGGCTACCCGCAAGCGTGATAACCATCAAATCCCGGAGGTGTACTTCGTCATATGGCCTATAGGGGAATATGCCGCTGACGAGGGCATGGGTTTTTACCCTAAACAGGGTGTATACGTTTGCGCAAGTCTGTACTAAGCAAGGTATTTTACGCAATCTAAAGCACCTGTCTATCTAAAGAACATATAATAGGTGGCTTCATGTTTAAGTTTGTTGCATGTGCACTTGCAATGGTACATGTTGGTTGGCATAAAAGTTGCGTTGGATTGGAACAACTAACATGGTTTTAGCGGTCCATAACGTAGCTCTTTGCAGTCAAAGCCCAAGGAAAAGAATGAGCAAGGCTGCCCCTAACCTTACCTCAAGTCATCCGGTTTGGAATCATGGTTTTTGCCTCTTGATTTTGTTATCTTCAGCCCTAAAAAATGGTAAAATTTTTCGGATTGTTATTGAAAGATAAATACTAGTTTTAATGGCATAAATTGCTTAGTTTTAATTAAAGTTTCTGGAATGATGTTTTCGCATTTACTATAATAGAGTGATTTTGAGCCACGTTTACGGCAAACGGCAAACGTAAATTTGTACCACGTGACCAATTTCTCTCTTGACATGTGCTTCACTGGTCATTACTTCTGCTCCAATAGTAGTAGCTTCACGTAAGTTTTGTCTGTAACAATTGTTTTGGATTGTTTTATACGACGGATAGCGCTATCCGCCTTTCTAACAAATGGGACCAGAGTGTGGTGTCACTTTGTGAGTAATCTTTGGAAAAAAGTCTGCCGGCTAACACGGGACCTTAAAAGTGGCCCACATATACCGATAGACAAAAGCAAAGTTTTATATCTCTGCTGAGTAGTATCTCTGGGGCATTATGAGAGGGCATTCTAAACCTGGAGTAACCAAATCTTTCACTGGCATCTTTCATGTGCTTATCATGAGTTTTGTCTTGGGAAAAATTTGGAAAAGAAAATCGTTTTTGGAACAATACCTTTCAGCTTTAAATATTGCATGCAACTGCATCTTCTGGAAACGGCCTGTAGCGCCTGAAACAACAAGAGAAAAACTCAAACTCCGGTTTTAAGTTTTTCTAATTCCTCTTTGCAGATCTTTTAACATATTACTACGGTATATACAAAGAAAAGAACTCACGTAAAATGAATACCACAAGGGTGGACGATACAGTGAATAACTTATATCAAAGCCGATAATCCATCGAGACGATGGTGGAAAAATTAAAACTGTCCGTTTTATATACGGGTGTCCGTAGGGCGGGGTTCGACTATGTAATCAATATACTTATGCCCTCCTCAAAAAAATTACCTTCGTTACTTGGTTTCTACTCACCATATTATTGACTGGTATATCCTCCAACGTCACCTGCTTCCATAGGGAGGGATGTTCGCTTATTTCGCGCCATTCACGGCAGACTCGAGCCAGACCGCACAGTTCAATAGGATTTAAGTGTTGAAATACAAGCCACAGACAAGCTCTTCTATGTCTATCAGATACATTTCTTGACTTACGAGAGACACCACCTGCAAAAATCCAAATCAATGTTCCATGGTTCATTAGAGGCCAAATATTTGAATAAAAGCGCACAAATTCTACAAATAATTAATTAAAAGTAATTTTCAAAACAAAAGAGCGGTCTAAAACCATGAGAGATTTTTGATAAGCTAATGTCGACTAAAGATCTGTGTAGCTTGATGTTTTGTTTCCTCATTGCAGACCACGAGTCAGGGGTTACAACTGAGAATTCTTCCTTTTAAATGTCACGCTATCCACGTTCCCAAATTCCCTTGAAAACATCAAGTGGTCTGAATTGGGAAAAAACCTAAAAGCTAAAAAGGTCTTGTATCTTGTTCAGAATAAATCTTCCCTTATAATAGTGGTAATAATAATGACGATGACGATGATGATGATGTTGATGCCGATATTCACAATAAATGCGTCGTGAAGGTGATAACGATAAGGATAACAGTGATGCTAAGTTCGCGATGATGATAATGATGACGACTATAGTGCTTGTCATGCCCTCGGGACAACCTCAATATGTTTTCACCAAAGAATGTGTCTTAAAGGTAATTAGTTAGTTTAAGTATGAAAACAGAAAAGAAAATGAAAATAGAGATAAAGCAATAAAATAAACTGAGACACGAATCTTCTACCTTTTTTATAGGACGTAGAAATCGTTCTTGGAGACTGACTCCTCCCCCAGTCGAACGGCTCGTTGCCTATATCAGCCACGTCTTCCTTATCACTGTTCAGGGGAGTAATAGTTCTAAAACTTTCCGAAGCACTGCTTACGCTACCTATTGAATTTCTGCGGCGTTTCCTCCTTCGTAACAATGAGAGCTTCTGCTTAAAAAGTCCCTTTTTAGGTTTCCTAAGGCTGTCAACATCAACGTGAGTACCTGTTTAGATATTACAAATTTGCTTCATAAACTGCCGGAGTTGATAAGATGAATTTAATCTACAGATTCAGCGAAGGAAAAAGGCAAAGCACTCTTGGATCTTTTTAGAAATTTTGTTCCGAAGTAATTCAACTTTCGCCAAAAGCAACAAACTGAATAGGCCTTTTTAATACAGTAGAACCCCGGTAACTCGAATTCTGAAGGGAAACGAAAAACGGTTCGAGTTAGTGGGGGTTCGAGTTATCGGGATCGATGGAATACCGGTATTCAATTTGCTATGTTAATAATTGATAGTTACTGATTCTTCAGCACTTCAGTGTATAGTCCAGTACAAATTTAACTTATTTCATCAGAAACGATAACATGATTATGCTTTTTTTATGATAAAACGAGATCTGTTCGGGGCACCAATTAAGATCAAATTGCTGTTCAGTAGTGTTAGTTTTAGTATTTTTACTGATTATACAGCAATAAGAGCTAATGGAATGGTATCCGAGTGGAGTTGCAAGAACCAGAATTCGAGTTATCGGGGTAAATTTCACTAAAATTTTGATCAAGGAAAAAGCAATTTAGTTCTAGTAAGCGAGGAATTCGAGTTATCCGAGCTCGGGTTAACCGACTAAAAATGACTAAAAAGTGGGTTGAAATCCAAGGGAAATGGGACTTGGTTCGAGTTAGTGCGGAGTTCGAGTTATCGGGGTTCTTCTGTAGTTGGTCACGTGATGAACGTTCTGTAAAAACGAAAACAGTTACCGTTAAAAAAATGATTTTTACAGAAACTGAAAAAGCATATTAAAATTACGAATCCTTCTGAATATAATGAAATTTAAAAAAATGTCGTAGAATCTTTCCCTAAGCCTTTATGGGGCTCAAATTTTCTTTGTTTCATAACAGACAATTCGTGTCCTGTAAGGCATAAGAAAAAGATTTAACGACATGGATTTGTAAAGAAAACCCACTAAACTATGACTGGTTGGCTAAAGTTGCTTTTCGCATACAAATCCTTCTAATTTTCGTCGGCCACTGCAATCGCTACTTTTGAAATATACGGCTGAAAAATTACAGGTTACCTAATTTTGATATGCTTTTTTTAGTTCCTACAAAAATCATTTTTCCAAAATGAATTGTTTTCGTGTTTACAAAAAGTTGATCACGTGACCAACTATTGCAAAAGGCGTATCCCTTTAGGATAGTCAATTTATTTGTGATCTCGCTGGAAAACCGACATTCGCCATTTGCACATCTCCCATAATACACCTTGTATGCCCCCCCCCCCCGCCCCCCACCAAAAAAAAAGCTTTGCATAACCGTTGTTTTTGATTTCGCTTGGGTATTACTGTGGTCCCACGAGAAATAAAAGACAATGCTTCTACAAAATTTTGCCGGCAAACAAGGTGTAATATGGGAGATGAGCAAATGGCCAATTGAATTTTTGGAAACTCATTACTAGGGTATGGTCTTGCTTTTGGCAGTAGTCAATCACAGCACGGGATTTAGGCCACGTGATCCAAACAGTTCAATTTGATCTGATCAACCGGTTGGGATTGCACGTGATCTGAACATAAAGGCTCTATTGGCAGATCGATTTTTCGGGAGTAACAGTAAAATGCTTCTATCGGGAAAAATGGACTGTACATGTACTTATAACAAAGAGTTTTATCAATTTATTCTTTACCTGAACTTTCCTTTCCTTTGCTAAACTTCCTCCTTAAGCTGGAGAAGCTAAACTTGTGGCTTGCATGAGAAGGAGAAGAGGGATCGTTCTTCTCGCTTTTACCGAGTCCAGAGTCTTGGCTTTGATTATTTACACTTCTTGGTCCCTCCTTAACCTTGTAAATAGACATGACACTGGGTGGTTCTGTAGCAGGCCTGTCCTCAACAATTTTTTGCTTACTTAAGTTAATTTCCTCACCGCTGGGGACTGGGGGAAGACGTCGATTTGAACCGCCACCAGAACCTCGACGAAAACGGGCATTATCACGTGACATGTGTGATTCAAATGACGTAACAGACGCTGTTTCGTCTGATCGCGTCACCAAGCTGTCTGTGCTATGACCACTTTCTCCGCTCAGCTTTCGGGTAACGTTTGGAAGCTTCCGTCTTTTTCTAGAGTCGGTCTTCCTAGGTGGACGTTTCGGTGTGTTCTTGTCCGCTGCGTTATCCATTCCAGGAGGAGAATGCGGGCAGACAAATCCGTCTATTGTTGTTAATCTAGCCATTCGGACATCGTCCGGTTGCACAAGGTGCCGAGCAGAGGATCGGAAACGACTGGCAAGCTCAAAATCGTCCTCTTCATCCATGTCATCAGTTGAATCGAACGGGTCATGATCACTTACGTCTCTCAGAACACCTTGCTCATCGAAATCTGACTGAGAACTTTTTAAGTAACGCTCAAAGTTGGCATTTTCTGCTTGGGTCCGTTGCACCATTTGTGGAGAAACTTGGTCGTCCTCTCTTAAATCTTGATCAGTATATCCCCCCCAATCATTTTGTTTGACAGCTTTTGATGAGTATCCATAATCGTCGATCGAGATTGGTCGATTGTTCTTTAATTCATGCAATTGCTGTTCAAGCATTTTAATATAATCAGCTATTTTGGTCCTGGCTTGTAGTTGCTGCTGGTTCGCATCGAGTGCATGGTCGTTCATGGACTTCACGAACCTGAAAGAGTGGGAAGAAATAGTTGATAAAAATATGATATTATATAAATTGCAAATGTGTCTACCATATATACATGGGCAAACTGATCGATCTACGGTTTGGGAAAATGACAAACCAAAACAAGGAACTGTTGCTGTTGCAGGCGTTCAGATAATGGGAACCGCGCAAAAGAAGTGAGCAGCGAAAACAGCGAGGGGGTGGGGTATAATGATTTTTTTATCCCCCCCCCTCCCCCACCTCTGTGACTTCGCGCCACACTCACTCAGTCTGAACGCCTAGAACAGCTGGCTAAGAGACTGTCAAATTTCGCTCGAGAATCGCGTCCACCATTGGCTCAAATCAGTCTCACTTGTCGAAAGCCGAAAACGGTTATTTTAAAAAAAAAGTGGGGTTTGCGGAAATTGAGACGAATTTGCGTTTGGAACATTCCGTCCGGGAAAATAGGACAATCTTTTCAGACGATCCGTTTTTCCTGGAAATTTAATTTTCCTCTGTAACGACCCTAATTTCATTCTCCATCTTCTTTCTAACCGAATTTTGGAAATTTTTTCTAAGCGGCACTCCACCGTTGTGTAAAAGTGTACACGATTTTTTCGTTAACTTTTTTATTGTTAGTGCTTGCTGGACGAAAGACTTGAATTCTGAGATAAGCGATTTAGTCATATTTTGAAAGGTCAATAGCAACAGTGGATAGTATGTCGATAATAAAACGGATCAAGGCTCTACATATTTTTATTATTAGTCGATAAAAACAGATAGATTTTTTGTTAAATTCACGTTGTGATGATAAAACTTCAGTATTGCATCCAAGAACGTAATCCCCATAATCCGAGAACTTAATTCTGACCGAAACAGTTTAGCTTTTGGAAAGAGCTTTCTGCAGTGAGGGTCAAAATGCCAACAAATTGGGTACGTTCTGTCAGGGCACTTGACAAGATTATTCAGTTTTCTTTTGCAAAATCAGAGAATTTTTCTTACATCTTTACATTCTGTTCAGAAGAAAACGATCCATTATTTTCCAATTATTGTTAGCTCTCAGGGCCGTTTTCAATTGTCCGATTACTATAGGCCATACCTCTGGCCAGTTTTTTAGCAAAGCCGAATCACCACAGTCTAAAGGGTCTCCGCAGTTAAACCTTGTATCTTTTTCATCATTGACCAAACTTTTACAGTATATATTAACCAATAACAAAATAATTGACTCATTTTCAATAAAAGAGCAATATTTCATGGCAGGTCAAGCTAATCAAAATGCTTCGTATTTCCCCTCCTATCAATCGTGCACAGAGCGACAAAGTTTCTGCAAAAATTAAAAATCTTCCCGATCAATTTTAATAAATCACTTTCTTGGTCAGGATTTGATAAACAAAGAGAGAGGTTTTGAACGAGTGTTTTTGACATACACGTCAAGCTAGTGTACTCGAGTGCAACAAATTAAAATTTGATTTAGGTGACTTTTCATCTATAAAAAGGAAGAGATTCTTTCTGCATAGCTTAGTTTTTCTTATTTCATAAGAAGTGGGATCAGAAAAGGCAAAACACACCTCAGAAACAACTATTAAAATTTCTTTGGGTCAGTTCATTACCGTGTCGAGTATTTCACAACAGGATCAATACAGCTGTGAATATTAATTTAGATTCAATATGGTGGACAGTACGATATTGCATTCTAGTAAGTCAAAGCAATATCTATGTTAAATACAAACCTTTCCCACTCTTTAAGCTTGGAACTCAACTCCTGGATGATTTTCATGTCTTGGTTATGTCTTGATTCCAGATACTGCATCCCCTTTTCAAGTCTTGTTTCATCCCTAAAGAAGTTCCCCATATTTTCCTCAACATAGCTGACTTTCCCGTCAGACTGGTCAAAACTTTGACTTTCCTGCGTATGATCTGTACCCTTAGTAAAACACTTCGCATGTTCCTGTTTTGGAAGCGATAGCTTTCGTAATTTTTCTGTCAGAAATTCTATTTCTTGCTCGCTCCGAATCACTGCATCGCGCAGATTATTTTTCTCTTCACTGATTTTCTCCATTTCCTCATCTTTCGTTTTTATTTGTAGCTCCAAAGAAATTAACTTGTCCTGAGCTGAAAATATTTTAGCATCTTTCTCTTTGATATTAGCTGTTAAATCGTTAATATAGTTCTGAGAAATCTCGAGCTCTCTTGCGCGCTGATCGCTTGTAAGCGAGACCAGTCTTCGATCGCTTTCGCTCTTTCCGAGTTTTTCTTTTAATTTGTCGCGCTCTTCTATCATTGTTCGCAAATCTTCTCTCGTTTTAAAGGCTTCTTCTCTTCTTAAGGCAAGTTGAAGTTCAATAATTTTGCTGTCAGGTGGTGAAAGGCTTTCAGGAAAACCGTTTGTATCAACGCGTTTGCCGTTGCAGGTAGACAAGTTTGCATTCAGCCTTTGCTCCCGCAGTCGGAGATTCCTGATGTCTTCATAAGCTTTTCCCAAAGCGTCCACGACCTCCCAGTTGCTTCTCTTTGCTTTCAGTAATTCGTTGTTTAGTCTAAGGATGGCAGAATTGTCATTGCGACGGGAAACAAACGACGATGAAGGCGATTCGCTATTTAGACTTTTCAAGAGTATAATCGCAGAGTCGGCCTCTGTATCAGAAACAGAGAAACGGTCAATTTGAAAATCCATGCTCGCGTCGGAACAGTTTCCTTCCGTTGCTATCGAATTTTGAGAAAGCTCTAATGAAGAGCATGTTGAATCGCTATTGAACAATATCGAACTGTTCAAAGGCTCTTCAATTTCTTGTCCAACAGGGCTCATAATACTTGCCTCAGACATTGAGACTTCACGCAAAATTTAAATCATACTCTCTTCGTTTTTTTTTTCGTTCGATAAACGTCATAGAGACCTTTTCAATGACGCCATTTCGCACGCGCTCAGCGATAAAACGGCTTGGGCGCCAAATTAAGCCTTCAAAGCTTTCGAAAACGTATTTTCAAAATAATAACAAGAGGCATTTGTCGTATAAATGAAGCTGCTTCAGAGGAGCTCAAATTATTCATAACCCAGGTTAGTTTGTTGACGGAACACACTATACATGCCACTCGAACGAACTAAAATCCCTGGTTACAGTTTACATTCCTAGAGCACGTGCCAAAAACGCAAACCGAATAAGTTGTAAGGCGTCAAGACGCTCTGTTTTCGAAGTCAAACCAATATACACTTAGCCATCAAGTGTTTGTTTTAAACGCTTGTGACTGAAAGCAAGACATTCTAAAGAACTAAATCCTTCTAATGTATAAAAGCTGCCAAATTTAAACGATTCAGATATATTTTCAATGGTTTTTTTTTTGTTTAATTGTTTTATAAACAATATTCTACGTATTTCACTACCTGACATAAAATCAATTTTCTATAAATGAATTTGGAGTAAGCCGGGGGAAAAATGTTCTCAGATCGGGCCTCTACTGAGTGGCAGAATTTGTCTCTAAAAAAATTACAATCAGAATAAACGCTAGACGTTCCGGATTCTTAGATAAAAATCTTAAAACGGACATGAAATATTCCATAATTAAACATCACATTTGGCATGAAACATTTGTCAATCCAAACAACCTTTTTAACCACGATTGTCTGATGCCCTTTTGCCATTTCCAAGAAAACCAAATGCAATTAGTGTCGCTGCATGGGTATGTGACGGGAGGGCGTTGCAAATAGTTCAAAAAGGAATCCAAAAACCGATCATTTTCGACTCTCCCTTTAATAGAATCATTTGATATCTTTTTTTCTTTTAGAGTTGAAGTATGAGAAAAGATGAATGAGAGTAGTTAGTTATACTCTCAGCACAACTTTGATAAAAAATATGAAACGTGCCATGACATACACCCTTTGACAACCAGACTTTTTAATTCGTACACAGCTCCCTGTAATACAAATATGGCCATTGTCTATCTCATTAACCTACAATCTACAAGTCTTTATATCTACCAGCTTGCAGTCTGCTTTTTTTCGTTAACTGCCGTAGTTTACTCGCAAAAGCTGAAATAATTATCTTTAATTATACGACCGCACCTAAAAGATGACTTCCTTCATCTTCTATGCAATGCAGTTATGTCACTATTCATAATGCAATCTCTTCCTTTCGGCAATTGCCTGATCCCAATCTTTCCAATACCTCTCTTTCATCCGGTCACAGTACCCAACCAAGTTCTTGAACTCGCTGTGAACCATGGCATGTTGGGCTGATGATTCATCTTGCCATACAAACTGCGCCAGTAAGCCAAACACTGATGCGTCAACAAGGCTAGGTTCCTGACCCATCATAAACGGTTTATCGTGTAAAAATTCAGACAATGATTGCAGGTCTTTTCTAGCGATGCTGTGCACTTCAGCGATACTATGGCGACCCAACCCCTGAGCATGTAACTGATTTTTTGCTACCCTCTGTACCACAGAGAGGATCAAGGCGCGCTTTCTTTCAGACAGCTTGGGAAATATAAGTTTTGCTGAACACTGAGGATCCTCAACCCAACGGTAATACACCATTGTCCTGCAATAATAAAACAAAGTAGAAAGGTGACTATTGTATATGGAGGGGACGAAATAAAGAATGACACCATTTCTGGAGCAAAAGCATAAAACTTTGACCCTTTACAATACCCACATACAAATTCTCCAGAGCGATTTTCATAATTTGTATTATATCTCCTTAAAGAATTAGCTCTCTCTGGTGATAATTTTATTAATTCTCATAAACTCTTCTCTGGACAATCAATGTATGGAGATTGTTAGAGGAAAATGATATAATTGGCCACTATTGGGACTAAAATGATATCACTAGAAAGTCTTTAACTTTGCTTACTAATGTATATATTTTAACTTTGACTTAACACTTCAATCAATTAAAGGTGCCTTACCACAAAATCCCAAAAAATATTTTAAAATCATCAATCACAAAGTTAACGTTGTGGCCCACAAATAGGGACGGTTTCATTTCAAGCATTTCAGTGCAGCCACTGGCCTTTTATCCCTCATCCTTCTTTCACTAGTTAATTTGAAGGGGATGTAAAAGAAACTACTCTACCGTTTGAAAAGAACAGGGGAAGTTTCCCCTTTGGTGTGGTCCACCTCTACCTCTGCTATCACTTCTCTTATCAAATAATGGTGAGTCTACGCAACAGGATGGCAGGAAAAAGAGGACAGCAAAATGCCTGTGTGTGACAACCATGACAGGGCTATTACTTGCATGTTTTGTTGTGATCTTCACTTAAAAGTTTGGCAGAAAGTTTATTGAAAAAAAGTTATTGTCATGTTTGTCACACATGGTTTGACGTATTCTATCCTCTCCCATCCTGTTACATAAGTCCACAAATAAATACAATAGCTTTTAAATGAGCTGATAATGGCCTCTGGTAGTGACTTAGTACAGCTGACATCTGAGCTTTCTGTTCCATAATATTTCACTCATTTTTTAAGACATCTGTAACATTACCATTACCATAACACAATTACCAACAATTAAGCCAATGAGTTTTCACAGTACAAAACTTGAAATTTTATGGAAATAAGGTCATACATACTGTGCCACAATCCTGTGAAAAAGACACTTCAAAAGAAAAAGAAGTAACCAGTCACTTTGGAAGTGATAAACTTGAATAATTGGAAGAATTTTCGTATTTCTCATGCTGGGATCACAAATGAGTCAGACTGCAACATTTTGACTGCTTACTGCAGGTCATATTCAGGCAATGAAGTTATTTAGTAGCACTCAGGAAGTGATTCACGAGAGAACCACGTGTACTTTAAAAGCTCAAATGCTTAAGAAATGGTTATTTTCACACTAGACACAGATAATCCATAACAAAATACTCCGTCTTCAAGATCTGTCTTCATAGACATTGATTAACAGACAGACAAAATCTGACGGATTATTAGTCCAATTTGAACACAGTCCCTTTAATTTTTTCTTTACGACAGATTGCATATCTAAGACATGTAATCCATCTTTTATGTCTGGGGTGGGGACATTTTCTTTCTTCCTTACTTGGTCTAAGCAGGTATGTGCCACTGAACAGGGTATGGTGCTCAGAGTCTTGAGTAATGAGGACTCTCACCCCAACTTTGGCATTTTTCTTGCCCTAAAGGGAGCATTCACAATGCAGGCTTCTTCTTACCCACATTCTACAGGAAAGGGGATTAGCGCAGTGTAACAGTAAAAGCTTGCGAATTTTTGTTTAGATATCTACATAGGCTTGTGGCTATTGATTTACACTCTGTTATTCTGTGTTTCCTTTGCTTTACATCAGTCGTGAGTCTGTCAGGTTTTTACGCCGGGGATGAGTCCTGTGATGAGTTAACTACTTCCACAGCAATACTGATTTTAAGGTTACTTTGTAATACCCTGGTCCAAGAGGTTTCTCTTGACATTTTTCTCTGCTTGAGAAAGAACGAGTCAAAAAGCAACATAAACGATTCACGCAGAGAACAATTAAGAAAAACCTCTGGGACCAGGGGCCCGTTTCTCTTGTTGTTTACAAGCACAATAGAGGTTTCAATATTTTTGCATCTAACATGATAAAATTATCAGTTCATGAAACAAAATGGAATAGTTTGCTGGCCGGGACCCACGCCCCTATTCTTTATATTTTGATTTGAACGTTTGATTTCAGGCCCAAAGAGTTACCGGGACTTTCAAGAAACGGGTCCCAGGATAATTTTTGCAGGGCTGTCAACTCTCCTGGATAATCTGGGAGAATCCGGATTTTGAACCATTTCTCCCTGTCTCCAGATCAGAGTCTGAAATCTCCCGGATAATCGCCGAAGTTTGCCATGTCTTGTAGATTCGACTTTCTGACAATGAAATTTCAAATATTTTGTGTTGTTTGAGCTCTTTTACTGTTAATATCAAACGCTTCCTCACAAACTCGGATATGCCATTGTAATATAAGCAATAATGTGATTGGTGGAAAGTAAACCAGTTAGAGCAAATGTTACAATTCGAACAACATCTTTTTCGCGTTTTTTTTTTTTTTTTCACAAATGACGTTATGTGCAGTCCATTATGACGTCATCTATCATCCCTTTCCAATCAATTCTCAATATTTGAAGACGTTGGGGGTTGGCAGCCCTGTTTTTGTTTTTAGTGTAAGGAACCTTACCAATAGGTGTTCTCTTCCACCATGGTTTTGATAGCGTGAGAAATAGCCCTCTCTGTTTTGCTTAACTTGTCGTCCAGGGTCACTTTAAATTCCTCGTTCAAAAATCTAATGCAGAAGTTAGAATCTGCGATCTTCTTTCCATTGTATTTGATCCAAGGTACTTTTCCTTTAGAGGAAACCTTGGGACCAAAGGAATTCTCGTAAGGTATCTCTGTCATTCGAAGGTACGTCTCTAATTTAACAACAAAGTTAGAAACCATAGGAACTTTGTCACAAATGGGAGGCTGGTGCAACAACACGACACCATCGGGGACAGTGACTTTTGGGGCATTAAGACCTGAAATAGCATCTTTAAAGAAAACCTTGAACACCCCAAACGCCAAACGACGCGCCATTTTGTATTTCGGTGATAAGCTGCTGGGCAGTTTGTTGGCAGGCTCAACATGTCACCTCCGACTTGCGTCGATTTTCTCTCATCTCTGCCATTTAAGTTTGAAGTGCAGCAAATGCTGCAAAGGGAGATATTTCGCGGTCATCGGCCTTTGCTTTACGACGCGAGCCTTCATAAGGGAGCAAGAGGAAAGGAGATTTGAAAAGGCGAAGCAAGGAGTGATCCCCGCCCTTTTTCTCTTTTCTCACCTGAGAGGCGCAGGAAAACCAAAAATATTAAACGCAATATCGTAGCCTGTACAAAGGCCCTCTATTTTCTCTTCAAAGTCCGTCGAGCGCGCGCGATGAAATATAAACAGCGGGGGATTTATTGAATTGCTGACGAGTAGTGGTGAGGGAAAAAGAAATCGTTCTCGCGCGCTAGTTTTGCTCGCGAACTCGCCAAAGTAAACAAACACCATTTATGGAGCAGTTTACCAAAATTTGGGACAGCGGAAACCGCCAAAATTTCGGTGGTCTTGTAAAACCTTGTTACAAAAGTTTTTATGGCGTATTTGAAAGTCGTTAGGCTCCATTACCCTTTAAAAAAAGGGAGAAAAATTGTGTAAAATTCGCCGAAGGTTTCAACAAAAAATTGTCAAATTTGTAAATTTTGAAATTTTAGCGCAGCCATTGCTGACAAACTTTTGAAATTTTGTAAAATTGTATCCGCCTTCAGGTTTGGATATAAGTGCAGAGGCATCGCGGTAATCAACAGCTGCGATGACTGATCGGTTACACCATGTATTTGTCGACCAAACAAGTGAACCCTTTCGCCATCGGACTGTATCAGCAGGGGTATTACAAAGAGGAGAGGAAGGAGGAGAGGGGGAGATGCTAAGAAAGATTCCTTTTCCATCCCAACTTTGCGAGGATACTGGCAGGAAATGCAAACTGATACCCTTTGCTTTCAAGGTCATCAATTCCTCTCGTTTGAGAGCGGGCCAAGATTCACACCGACTTTAAATTGAAAAGCTTCTCTGAGGTAACACATGCAATACTAGAGAACAAAATACACTTGGCGGCCATTCAAAACGAAACAACTTTTTATATACATTCTGTACAATACATAGGCTGAAATGCTAAATTAAATTCATTTCTCAATTTCTTAATTACAATTTCCCTCCATTTATATATTTTGTAATAAACTTAATGTCCATGTTTCTTAATGACCTGTTAAAATATAGTCTCACAACCACGTTCCCAGGTTCTCTCCCGCGCGCGCGCTCCGTAGGGACGGGTAGGAGAGAACCCTGGGAACGAGGTTGATGGTCTCATTGGTCAAATGTATTTCCTAGCAACGACAAACTCTGATTTGCCCCGAAACGATCTGTACTGTACTACAAACCTAAAGGTGATCGAATCTCACTTAGCTAGATTAACGTAAGCGTGAAATTTTTTTAAGAAAGTTGAAATGGTGTTTTTTTTCTTCCAACAAAAGGAAGAAATAATAACGTGCTGGCCGGCAAGTCAGTCTGAGGACATGCAAACCTCCCTCCCTGAAAACACTAAGCTCACGATTTGAAGGTGGGAACACGTACTGAAAGTGTCCTCTTATGATTGGTTATAGTATATCACGTAATGAACTTTGAAAAGAAGGCTTACATTGTCGTTCAGTAATATCCTATTTATTTTTTGCTTTTTAGGTGAACTAAAGAAAGACAATTAACACATTAACAACGGTCTAATTATCACATTAAATGCGATAAACATTTCTTTCTCCCTGAGTAAATATGAACATGTTCACGATTTCTCCTTGACTTCGCTGCTTTGAAGTAACTTTCTGCTAACGAGCTCTACTTCATTGCACTGCTCCTTAAAAATTAACCTCAACTGCTCTTGTTGAACCATGACGTCTATTTGCACGTCAAGTTTAAAACTTCGGCAAATGAGTGAATTATCGCATGAAGATTTTTTAGTGTGCCAAAGTGTTCTGCCACTGAATATAGAACCATATTTCCTATGCTAAGCTTTTTGATAAAGATGCTGAAAGAATCTGAAAGAGGAATCGGACTGAATAACGATGCCAAAGGAATAATAAAGTGGAAAGTCAGCCGCACCGTACGACTCATGTTCTTCTGGCTCTCCGTAACGTTTGAAGTTGTTCGTTGAGTCGTGTTATCTCGTCTCCCAATGTGTCAAGGTTCTCCTGCAGGAAAAATGCAATTAATGCACATATTAGCTTCGCCGGGCATGGTGGAAACACCATGCACCAATTACAGTAGTCCTATAGCAAGCAGTTATCCCACAAACCATGGAAGATACACCACACCACGGGGCTCTAAGTCCCTTACTCTTTTCGAATAGCAGTGAGGATTATTTCCAGTCACGACTTTTCAAACTAATAAAGAGGGATAAAGGAGACAAGGCGCGCGCACTACTTAGTATTGAGAAAATCTCGTTCTTGTAGTCGTCCTCGTCTTAGAATCTAAAGCTCTCTAGTGGAGTGCGGCACGAAGTCACCTCTCTTTCCCCTCCACTCTACCCACAATTTGAATACCTGGAAGAGCCTATTGTTCTTCCAGAATAGTTGTAAAACATCTTTTCTCATTACAACAGTAAACACAGCTGGGGTAACTTCTACTGTTGTTACCTTGAGGGTAATGTTCTTCAGAATGGTATCCTCGAGTACAGCCTGTAACTTCCGGTTAATCTCAAGGGACAACTCTAAGGTCATGTCAGGGTCCGAGGCCTTGGATGAGTAAACAGACGCCATGATTCCCCCATGACGGGCCACCTGGGCCTGCAAAATAATACGCAGTTAACCCAAAAGGAATCTAAGCTAAAATTGCAATGGTATTCGTTCTCCTGAATAGAAAATCCGAAAGGTAGATCTCCAACATATAATTACGAAGGGCTGTAAAAATTTGCTTTTTGTGTTCTAGCTAACGTACATTTTCGAGACAGTAAGGACCTTTTAATTACTTTTAACTACTTAGCATTATTTTTGTATGAAATGTCGCAAAACTTTTAATCAATTATTGTTTTCAATTAATGTTATTGTTTAGGAAGCATATTTTTGTAATTAATTTTTATTCTGTGCAAATTGTTCTCCTTATCTTACGTAGTTAGGTTGGTAGTGTTTTAAATTTCACTCTTTGTGAATACTTTTCTCATATTAGTCCACAAAGTAGTTATATTCACGGTATTTTAATTAGTGTCTCCTATTAGTAGGCCTTACCAGGCCAGCTAGAAAACCTAGACACTATAATAAAGTTCATCATCATCATCATATTCAAAACTACAAGGTTCTTGCAAACTGATTAAACAGTCATTTATCATAAAATAAAATTGTCTGAGTGAGTTATCGATCAACGATTCCGTTTAATGCGACCTAATTTCGTTCCTATCACAGTTGTTATGGGACAGCGAGGGGCGCTGCAAATCGGTTCCGCGACATTCAACTGCAACGCGTCACTTTGTAGCCTGCGAATCCCATTTGTGTGATGCGAGACGCATTAGAATGCAATAGTTTTCCGTTAACACAGTACGCAAGCAACATACTAGCTTAAGTCAAGGGAAAGGAAGAAGTACCGTTAAAACCCTTTGTTCTAACTTAGCTGTATTTAGGCTTAAAGTGAAGGTAAGGTCAACAAAGGCACCTGTGAATTATTCCGCGAGAGGAATGGGGAGGAGGCGCTTAAACGGGTTCCACGCTCGGGGCCAGCCTTTTATGGAAGAGACACGGAAAGAGAAAGTGCAAGTTTAGAGAGTGCAATTTGCACAACTTTTATGTTGAAAGCAATGTTACAACGGCCATTCTGAAAGGCAATTTCGCCTTGGGAAAATCGGTCAAACACAAAAAGTTGCTTGCCCGTGCCGGGCAAAAGCCATTTGATGGCTCGTGTAACCGCACCTATTGCATCTATTTCATTTACGCACGTAAACATTACGGAGGAGCGGAAATTCACCCTTACTGACAAAAACAGGGCAAGGCTGTTAAGCTCCAAAACAGAGGCAAAAATCCGACTTTATATAAGTTACATTGCCTTGGTCTTTCAAAATGGCCGTTGAAATATGAAAGAAACTTTTATCAGTTTAGGCAAGCATTAATGTATCATGGTACCACCTAAAATTATAACTACTAAAGACAAGCAATCGTATTGTTAGGTTGCAAACAACTGTAGATTACACAAATATCACTATTATAAGCCATACCAGGAAATTAAGTTTGCAATTCAACTGGTTAAATACTACCTCCTTCCTGAATTAGATTTATCAATAGCTTCAGAAATTAAAGTCAAACAACTAGCGACGAAGAGCGAGGAGAGAGGGCCGTGTTCGCATGCTAAAAGTGAAAGTGAACCGTTAAGTTTATAACTCTTTTACAGCTTGTTAATTTTACAAAAGGGATAAACAATTCAACATATCAAATACATTCAGTAACTGTTTTTCATGCCACAGCATTGTGCATTGTCAGTCAGGAAAATAAAGGAAAGAGGTACGAAGGTACGGAAGGACGGAGGGAGGAAGGGACGAAAAGAAGGAAGATATGCATTGGAGAAATCATTTCTTTCTCATGTAAGTTCCAAGCACAATCCCCACCTCCCTCTAGTCTCTCATGCAGTCGTTTTTGTCTCGTCACGCAATGCTCCTCGTTGCGTTGCGTGACGAGGCAAAAACAGCTGCTCGGGAGACTACACCTTCCTCTACCACAGTCGAAAGTTGGTTCAGTGTCTTGGGGTTACAGTTATAACGTACCTTATGTATGTCTGATTTAGGTGGGGCCAGTGTTCCAGCCTGCTCTCGCAACACATAGTAACTGATAATTCTGAAAATGATATACGGTAATAAATATTTGGGTAATTGTGAACAACAACCCCTCACAACCGACTGTCGGTCTACTGTAGGCCAACTAAGGAAAATGGAGGCTTCTTGTATAAAGATAAGCAAAATTAAAAAGAAAACAGCTTGGTTCGAGCTATATATTTTGAAATAAGGGCGCTGGGGCGAGGATGGCGAGGTT